ATTAGATAAATTTTATTTTTAAATTGAAAATAATAAAAATTATTGTTAATAAAAATCGTAAATGACATTTAAAGAAATAAATAATAAAATATTAATAATAATTTTAAATTCCAGAAATTGGCTAAACATTAACTCAAAAATCTACAAAAACAATAAAAAAACAGGGATATATATATATATATATATATATATATATATATATGTCATCGTTATCAATATGGCACTATACTTATTTTTATTCCATACGCTTACAGAATAAGGTTCAGATATCTTTTAGTTGCGATGAAAAAAAGAAAAAAATAAATAAAACGACTTTCGTGATAAACTACAGACCTTTTACTAGAGGAGAAGAACTCTTCGTTTCGCTGCGTTTTGATCTACCTGAGATTCTTGTATTTTCTCGAGAAATTGCATCTCCGTTACGCCCCTCTTTGGTAATGTGGATCCGGGCACGATTCCGACGCGACGGTGGAAAGAGGATCACAAGGATAATACATTAACTTGAGACTTCACAGTCGAAAGAAACGTTGAGATGAGAGAAAAAAAAGAGAAGGAAAAAGGAAAAAGCGGCGGCAAAAATTTCAGGTGAATAATTCACTGTACCAGATAATTTTACATAAACGCATTTCACCTTAATATTTCCGTTAAATGAATTTCTTTAAACATTTTTTATATATACGTTTTTCTAACATTGATAAATAAAATTTTTAAAAAATTTTAAAAAGAAATGCTATATGTGTATTGCTAAAAATTTTTTTTTAAAATTTTTTTTCTATAAAAATTTTAAGTCTTACATTTGTTTAATTTTTGCAAAATTTTACCGAATTCACAGTCTCGATACTCCAGGACATCACAAAAATTAAATTTAAATAAGAAATAAATATTGAAAGGACTTCCTTCGCTTTATGACACGCAAAAATAAGAAAAACTGCAATTTTAATTAATTTAATAAAGAAACTCTACGAATGCGACATTTTGTATTACACTATATAGATATACTCTAACGGGTGGGAGAAATGGGGCGCATGATTAGCCCATAAAAATCAATAGTTAAAATTTTCATTTTTAACAATTTTGTTAGATATAATTATTTTTTAGACGAATTTTTATTTTTTGAATTAATATTTGACAGAATTTTTTTTGTAAACAAATTTTTAGTTAACATAATTCTTATGTATCCAATTTTTATTGAACAGAATTCTTAAAACGCCAAATTTTTATTTGTCTAAAATTCCAAATGTCCGAACAAACAATCGACAGAAAAATTTTGGCGCGATGTTTTAACCATTTGAAGCATACATTTTTCATTAACAGTTTATCGCTCCAGTGCACAATTGGGGGTTTTATGGGTCGCTGATTACGAATCTCAAGTAAGATTTTTCAAATTTTCAAAATTCAATATAGCGGATCCAATATGGCGGATGACTAAATTAAAAATTGATCGGATTTGCCTTAAACTTGTTACTCGGGAGTTTTTGGGGTCACTAACTGCGAATATGATATCAGATTTTTGAAATTCAAAAATTTTTTTTTCATTATGTCATCCGCCATATTGGGTCCGCCATTTTGAATTTTCAAAAACCGGTGTCAGATTCGTAACCAACGACACACGATTTAAAAATAATAAAAATTTAAGCTAAATAAATTTTTCTTTATTACATTATTTTTAATCTTTTTCTACTTAATTTTCTATTCTATTAAGTTAACAAATTTCCAAAAGCGACACCGACACCGTGACCTCGACACCGTCCTTGGAAAATCTATTTTCACTTATTTTCAAATAAATCAAAATACTATGCCATATGCTTTTAGAAAATCTTACATACTTTTTTTTGTAACATGTTTTTTCAATTTTAACCCAAAAAAGGGTAATTTTGCATTTTCTTCGGAAAAAAGGGTTATTTTGCAATTTTATGCAATTTTTTACGAATTTTTGGATATATACCTTTAAAATTACTCTATTTTTAAAATGTAACTTATAAACAATTTTTTACCAATTTTTAATGTTTTTTTTTATTATTTATTGTTGTTTTTTAAATTTTTAGTTTGGAACCTATAATACTTTGCCTAATTTTAAGTGTCATTGAAATCAATTGTTTTTAACTTAATAATTTTAACATTTCTTATTTTAAAACGAAACATCTTCTATTATATTAAGTTAACAAATTTCTAAAAGCGACACCGTGACCTCGACATCGTCCTTGGAAAATCTATTTTCACTTATTTTCAAATAAATCAAAATACTTTGCCATATGCTTTTAGAAAATCCTACATACTTTTTTTGTAACATGTTTTTTCAATTTTAACCCGAAAAAGGGTTATTTTGCAATTTTTTACGAATTTTTGGATATATACCTTTGAAATCTCTTTATAAAGGTTTACTCTGGATAATAAAAATGGAAACCGATATTTTAAAAGGTTTTTCGATTTATTATGAACATTTTTCTAAAAAATTTGCAAAACCTCCATGTGTTTGTTGGGCAATTTACAGCAATATAATATAATATAATATAAGATAAAAAAAAAAAATATTATAATATAATATAATTAATATTGTTCTTATAATTATAATAAATTAAAACATTTAATATTTAACAACTGTCATTTCATCCTTCAGTGATACTGATCAAAATTAAGATAAATTGTATACAATATTAATAATATATTAATTTAAAACATAAATTATATATATATAATATACATAAACTACAATAAGTAAACAACAATAAGTACAACTATAACCGAGCGAGCGAGGAATACATCGCTATAGTTTTAAATTATAATGTAACGTGTTAAAATGTCAATCTGTTTTTTTTTATTGAAATTAATATTTCCCTACTTTCTTATAAAAAAACATTTTAGAAAATGTGTTATACAATATATGTGTAATAATTTCAAATAGAATAAAAATAATCTTAAAAAATAGGGTAATTTCCAAATATATGTATAAAAATTATATTTTTAAATAATTGGTAAAATTTTTTTTTTCTCTTCAAATTCAATAAAGCATAATTTGATTTTTCATATACTAGGTCATAAATTACAAATATATACCTATATAAGAATGATAAATAATTAAAGTATTCTGCTCTTGAATGTAAAAACAGAAAAAAAAATTTATAATGATAATTTTTAAAAGGAAATGAAATGGAATAAATCTGAAATTAAAAGTCGATGAAAGAAAATTGAGAAAATAAAGTCTAAAAAGAGGTTAAAGTTTAAAAATTTAAATATCTGAATAAATGAATATACGAGAAACTTTATGGATGAAGGTAGGTAAAATGCTTCATGTCTACTCGTTGCCTTCAACCACGCACACTATATATATGTATACAACAAGTAGTAGTAGTTGTAGCTGTGGTAGTGGTATAACCATTGGATAAGACTGAATATGGTGTGTCTGACCTGACGCTCTCTAGACCACTTAAATTAGTCCCTACTTAGCTGCTCAGTATATGGGTGAAGCCTGTTTGCATAGAAGGTTATATCGTGTGCGGTATAGCTTTAAGCTCAGATTAACCTCTATTTAACAGTTCAGGATATCAATAGTGAGATTAAATCATCATCTCCTTTATGTTTAATTGTGGTAATTAAATAGTAGATACAATATGCCACTTCGAAAATATCGATTTTCACATTTTTTATTTGGCTACAAATTTTTTTTTTTAATGGTTTAAAATTTCTAAAAAAGATAATCTAAAATTTGCAAAAAGTAATTAATTTTCTTTAAATCATTGTTTTACTTCTATTGTAATTAAAAAAAAATTCTACTTATCAAAACTATAATTTCCATCAATAGATGGTTTTTATTAATTCGTCAGTAAACATTTTTTTTTTCCTTTAAATACCCAAATATTGTATTCAAAACCATAACTTTCGAATAAATAATAATATTTTGAATTACGCTTAAAATTCTCTTGGTGATTCTCTTTCATTTTTCTTTTTTGCATTAAAATTCATTTGCATAATAACTAAAGAGAGATACACCGCGACGACCGATCAGATTAAATGCAAATCTCAATGCGTTTAAAGTTGTTATGGTTCAGGCAGAAAATATAACAACACACACTGCTCTCACCCCCCCCCCTTCTCCCCTTCCCTCACCCCTTCTGTCAGCGTGATTCAATTAACACGCGAGAGATTGTTTCATTGTTAATTAAATTCCACATGCGATGAGGCTTGAAAAACTACACGACTATTTAATCAACTCCTGGGGAACAATAAATCTAGTCAACTTTTCACCGCAGTTTATACAAAACATTCTGCAAACTATACCACTTTTTTTTTTACTCCCCCGGACGACTAAGACTAAAAAGGGAAAACTTTATAGCATTGTCAACGATGCACATTGTTCTCAAAACATGACTCCATGAACTTCATGAATGTAGACAATGAGCAACTTTTAAACTTTATTACAAACGTGTGTTATTTTTTTTTCGAAAAAAGAAAAAAATTTATAATAAAAAAAAAAGAGAAGAAACATCTTTAATAATTTTTGTAAATAACAAAAAAAAACATAAATATTCATAATATTATTAGAATTTTTTAGAAATAAACATGATTGTATTTTGAAAATTTATTTTTTAATTTTGTTAAAATATAATATTTAAAATTAGCGATATAGCATTTTGTCAATTTGCATTTTAATATTGTTTTGAACAAAATTTTGATAAATAATTAATTGATTCAATATATATTTCAATGTTGTTCAACATATTTAGTTTTTTAAACAATATTTGAAATAAACACTCTCAACAATATTATTGAAATATTTTGCGTTTTAGTTTGATTCTATGAATAATATATTCGATTTTGATTGTATTTAAAAAATAAATTAAAATAAATTAATTAAATTAATATTAATATTAAAAGATTAAAAATATTAGAATATTTAATATAATATTGAAAAATAAAATATTTATTTACTTTTAGTAAATTTATCAAATATGTGTTTTATTTAAGCATATAAAATTTTATAAACATGTAGAGATAAAACTCACCGTTCGGTCACCAGGATGTTTAACGTGACAGTTTAATTCTGCCATTTGACCAACGATTGCCGTGACATTTCGCGGCGAGACGTCGTCAAAATAAGGTTTATCCCACGCTCTTGTGGGCTTATTACTCCCTGCAACGACACTTGCTAAACTAGAGCCTCCTAAAACATAAATAATCACGTATTTGTTAACTATAATCTAGATTTAAAAAAGCAATTATATAAAATGACATGAAAATTTTTTCTTTTTTAATATGAAAGTAAATTTTTGATGAAAAACTTTTAATCCCTTTGACGGGGGTTTTTTTTCATCAATATTATTATAAAAAACGATTCTAAAAAAAAATGTTAACAAAATACAATTTTTATAATTTTATTTTTGACGTGACAACGTCTTACTCCGAGGTCTAGGGTGCCAGTCAGAAAAATTAGCGTTCATATCGCCGTCGATTTTACGAAAACTATAAGTCATATTTTTATGATTTTTGAGTTATTCGATTAATTTCGATCTAATCTCGATGCCAAACTTATTTTTGTCAAATTTGGAAATGAAATTTTTTATAGTTTTCTATGTTGCCGACCGGTTAAAGATTTAAAATGTTAGTATACAGCGCCACTGCTGACAGTATCCACTATACATATCCCGTGTAGAAATGTCCCTAAGCTTCCCAACGTGATAATGGATTCCGACTAGAACCGCGCTAGAAAATCTAGCCTAGAAAAGTTGTACTCGAACCTGATTAGATTCTTGTGAGAAATTCAGACTAGAAATATCTGCTGAGATCCCGTTTGAATTCTAGAAAGGCAATTCAAACTAGAAAAATCTGATTAAGCCCTTACTAAATTCTAGCCAGAAATACCTCGAATTGGACTTAGATTATTTTTCGATGTTTTCTTTATTTAAAATATGAATTTAATTATATGTTCAATAAGGGACACAAATATTTTTAAAATGGTCGTTTTAGAAATAATAATAAAAAGAATAAAAATTAATAATAATAAATTATAATAATAAAATTATTAAATAAATTAAATTTATTATTAAATACCACCGAGTGATAGAATCAAAGATAATATTATTAATAAATTACATTATTATATATAGTTTCACTTTTTATTTAATTTAAAAATAATATTTAAATTTAAATCGAAAATGTCGAAATCGATGTATCGAAGTTTTCAATATATCGATGTTCCATCGTCGAGAATGATGACATGAATGGTGCAAGTGCACATGTCATTTTGTGTGAACCTGAATTTTATTGTTCTTTTGTTAATTAATAATGGAAAATAATAAGAGGGAAAAAAGCAATCGCGAATGCGTAGCAAACAATATCTTGAGGTGAAATCCGTACGCGTTGAATTAAATAGAATGCAATATGTTCAAGAGCAAGTTATAGATATTGACAATTTAGATAACTTAAATCACTTATCTTCTTTATCAGAAGGTAAATATTAACATAATATTATAAATTTAAGAATATTTAATATTAAGCCAACAAACATGAAATATGTACTTAGAATATTAAAAGTAAAAAATATATTGATTGGTTTTCTAACCTCAAATTTTGTCTTTATGTTAATATCATTATTGCAAATTTTTAATTTTTACTATGATTATTCCAATTTCTTCAGGTAATATTATGATTTCTAACTTTTTTATTTATAATTCTGGTTAAAATTTGTGTTAGTACTGTTTGGAGGTTAGGAAGTTCAATTAAACTTCACGGCTATAATAAATAGCATAACGGGCGTTTTTAACTCTACAATTTCAAAAACACACACGGAAGAAAGGACGTTGGATCTTTATATAAATATGTTTTTTGGATTTATTAAATATTTATTAATTTTTATTTAATAATAATCGATTAAAGGGAGCTAATAGGGTTCTAGCGAGAACCCTTTACTTCAGGTAGGGAAATCGCAGGGATATCCCTGCTAGATCCCTACCAACATTCCTCGCTGGCGTCGATCGTGACGAAAAATGCCGGGTCCCGCCTAGAGTTTCCCTTCCGGAACCCATCTGGCAAAACACTGAAAAAAAAGTTCTGGTTAAAGTTACTAGATGCGTTTGGTTAAAAAATTTCTAGTTATTTTAACAAGAAAATATAGTTAAAAAAACTAAACAGTTCTAGTTAAATAAGTATGGTTAAATTATTCTGGTTAAAATAATTCTGGTTAAAAGCGCGCGTTCGCGGACACTGCATAGCGTCTGTTGTTCTTTTTCGAATAGTTTATCGTGCGGATCGCAAGAATGGATGAAAAAGTTAACCAAGCTCTGGAAAATTGGGGTTTGGGAGAATTAAAAGATCTGTTTAAAGGTTGGTTAATTAATTTTATAATATAAGTGAAAAAATTGTTGACGAACGGCAAACCCGTTCGTGTGGAAAATAGTTTGAAGGTTATGTTGAAAACGTTTTCGACACGTTTTATCAGAATTTTAGTTCTGAATAATCATATTTAAATAAACATTATTAAGAGAATTGCAGTGTAAAGGTGTTATTGTTTGATTGTATTTATATGTACATAATACAAATTTTTTTAATTCATATTTTATAATATTTTATAATATAATATAATAATAATAAATTTAATTAATTCTCTGATTAACTAGAATTTCTGGTAAGATCAACCAGAAATTTTTTTACCAAAAATTTTTAACTAGAAAAATTCTAGTAAGATTAACTTGAAATTCTAGTAAGATTAACTTAAAATTCTGGTAAAATTAACCAGAATTTTTTAACCAAATTTTCTAGTACTTTTAACCAGAAAAAGTAGTAAGGGTATATATAACTTTTTATTCTGGTTAGATTAACCAGAATTCTGGTTATTTTAACCAGACTTTTTTTTCAGTGAAGGGACGCACAGCGAGGTCCCTATTAAAATCTAACTCAAATTTCTGCACGGGATATATATATATAATAGTCAAAATAAACATGGCTGCCGAAGCTGTCACTTTGTTTTGTTTTCGTATCGTTATTCGAGGAAAAAAATGTGAAGCGATCCGCGATCACGTAGTGTAGTGTTGACCTGTGTACATAGTATAGTCACAGTATTGCCAATTGCTGAAATTTTGCACCGGAATAATATCAAAACATAACCTCAATCATGGATGTATTCTGTTCAAGAATTGTTATAATTAACTGGTCCACCACAATTCTTGAACAGAGTAAATCCATAATTGAGGTTATGTTTTGATATTATTCCGGTGCAAAATTTCAGCAATTGGTAATAATGTGGCATTACGTTTTGAATATTTTTAAATTCAATTGTTTGGAAATTATTGTCAGTTTATTCTAATTTTATGCACTGAAAAAAAATTTATTTCATTCAAATAATCGGTTACTTGATCATTATGGAATAAATATTTATTTGTATCAAATAATTATTATTTGAGTCAATGAAATGGTATTTGTTTCAAATACATAAATTATTGGTTCAAGTACAATTTATTTAATTCAAATAAAAATTATTTGGTTCAAATAAATATTTATTTGATATAATAGTCAAGCAACGGATTATTTGAATCAAATAAATTTTTGTTCAGTGCGTTTATGTACAAAATAAATACTAAATAATAATCTTATAAAATATATTTTAATTAATTAAAAAAGACGTTGTCACAATAAAAATTCTCCGTCCGTGTAATAAATACAGACCTCTACTTTAATTTTTTATTTCTATTTTTTCTAGAAGATGACGAATATTTTCAATTTCCATATTAAATTTTTTCTTAACTTGGAAAATATTTATATTTATAAATCGAATATGTAGAAAGTCTAAATTTTTATATTTATTCTCGCTTAACCAATAACAGAATATTGAATATCAATTATTAAAACTTTTACAATCAAAAATTAAAATCACCATCACAGTTATATAATAATTTATTCTCATAGAAAATTTTTGTAATTAGAGAAATTTGCAAATTATGAGAGATGCATCAAATTTCAATAATTTAAGCCCTCTGAACAATTAAAATAATGACTGGTTATTTCCATTGTACTCATCAATAACAGAGTAGTGAAAAAGTAGAAATATACATATTCATCAAATAAATGTATATATGATGTATTCCACGCCAAAGTGAAAGTCCATCTGTAATTGCATCTCCGATTTTTTTGTGATTTTTTTTTCTTTTAGTACTAATTGAGACTATCTTCCATGAATTTTTTCAAATTTTTTTAGCAAGCCGTTTTCAAGTTATGGAATTTTGAAAATTGGAGACTTTTAATTTTTGAATGCTCATAACTTCCTTAAAAATGCATCAATTTTAAAAGTCTTTTTTTCAAAATGTGTAATCAGCGCATCCAAATACATAAAAGTACGTAGTATAAAAAAAAAATCAAAAATATTTTTAAAAAATTCCAAATTTTTTGAAATATTGTAAAAATCGTTTGCCCATTATCGGGCTTGGCTTAAAAGTTTCGTAAAAAGAAGTATTTTTTTTTGAAAAAATTTTGAAAAAAATCGATCAGTACGTCAAATGAAAAAAATGACTTTTTATCATTAAAACTCAAAAATTTGATAGTAATATCGTTTAAAAAAAAATTACGATTTTTTTTTGTTGAAAAGTACGTTTAAAAACACACAATTTGAAAAAAAGACTTTTAAAATTGATGCATTTTTAAGGAAGTTATGAACATTTAAAAATTAAAAGTCATGAAAATTCTCCAATTTTCAAAATTCCATTACTCGAAAACGGTTTGCTAAAAAAATTTGAAAAAATTCATGGAAGCTAGTCGCAATTAGTACTAAAAGAAAAAAAAATCTCAAAAAAATCGGAGATGCAATTACAGATGGACTTTCATTTTGGCGTGGAATACATAATATACTTCCAATATAAAATTTGATTCATTGCACCGTTGAAATTTAAGAATATGAAAAGATGAAGCATGAAACTAGTATTATATTTGCCTTCAGTTATCGTACTTTCAACGTTTTATATATATTCCTGTATATATATATGGTCGTCGTCAGTTTTATGATTTTCCGCAAAATTCCATATTGCGTACGCGAACTAATTTCCGAATCAAAAATTTCCTCTTCGCGTGTTTATCCATCAAATTGGAAAATAACTTCATAACTTGCGAAACTTTATCTCATTCTACGTTGGGCGTATTTTTTAATCGATTGGTATACGAAGGTAAAAAAATTCTGTA